TGTTGACAGAGTGAAATAAAGGTTAGCACAACATGCACTGACCTCCAGTTCAGGACTGTTTGCACCACGGGTCATGAGAGCGAAAAGACAGCGGTTCAGTTAAAAACAAGTGTTATAAAGAGTATCTAGTTATGGGTTTATTGTGTCTGCAGACACCTGTCGATTATACAGATTTGTATTCAAGTGTTGTTGAATGTGTAACAATAAACTTGTTATTAAAAATAAATTTAAATAAAATTTCAGACAAATAAAAAAAATCAAACAATAAAATATAAACGATGAAATAAAATAATAAAAATAAAATTAATAAAAGATACTAAAATAAATAATACTAAAATAAATAGAAATAATAATAATAATATTAAAAATAATAAAATAATACAAAATACATTTTAATAAAATAAAAAATGTAATTAAGAAAGTATAATCAAATAAAGAATAATAAAGAATAATAAATAATTAAATTGAACTTCATAAATAAAAAATAAAACAAAATAAAATGCCCCAAAACAACAAAAACATAATAATAATAATTCCACAGAGACTCACCTATGTGGCCGGGTACATGTTTTCCTCGAAAGCTCATGCAGACGGTGACGTTGAAGCAGTTGAGATGCTGAGGGCCCTCGTGACACTGCGGTACTGTGATGTTTATCGAGACGGGCAGAAAGATGGAGACGTCTACAGAGATCACCGGCCTGGATCTGTCACAAGCAACAGCAAATAAGGTCAAAGCTACATCTGAATGGATGATCATCAGAGAACACTAATGAGGAATTGATGTAAATACAAGCTTTTGCTGGCTCAGAAGTGCACAACTTACCTTAACAAAACCACACTGTCAGCCATGAATGCCCCTATCGTCACATCTGACATGGGAAAAACAAAAAATTACGTTTTTCTGGAAGGCCAGGAATGATTTCATGCACTCTGTGATGATATGCTGTTAGAAAAGATGTGCAAAACTTGTAGCTTTAATTCTAATATATACCTTTAAAATGCAATTTATGGGCTGATAAAGTACAAAGACGTTAAGGTAGAATTCGGTGTTGTCTTGTTTAACTAAAATTTAAACTACTGGAGATCAGTAATTTAGATAAAGCTGAAAAAACTTCTAAGTTCTAAGAATGTTGCCTTTGCAACTAACTGAAATAAATAAGTTTAAGGACTATAATACTAAACCTAAAACTAACATAAACTTACACAAGAAAAAAAAACATCTTCACAGCAGCTTTCACATCATAAGTCCAGTCACATCAGATCACATGTTGTGACGAATCACTCGTGTCATAAGTTACACATTAACTTTTAATACTTACTTTTAATTTCCAGAATGGAATAAACTCACTGGAGGTCGGTAAAAACGTTACATGTTTCCCATCTTTACACGGAGATCGCAGAAGGCCAATGTAAGTGGTCTGGCACCGGTCGCGGTTTCTCACTGAATGTGGTCGGTTTTGATCTAGTTAATTCGGAACATTCTCAGTGTTCATTCGAGCAGAACTAGCCAAGTGTCTAAAGCAAAGCCAAACCTGGATATCCGTTTCCATCCATGTCCACATTGCCGGAAATCGACTGGCCGAACATTTGGAGGGTGGGGTTGATGCTTCGCCCAGACAATCTCTGCATACGATCCAGGTGAGAGAGAAAATCACATCAATTAATCAGAAACGCCAATATTAACATCCACACAGACCAAATCATTAATAAATCATCCTCAGATTTCGGAATGCCACGTAGTTCATTTATTAAATATTTGAGCTAATTTGATTATGCTTTCAGCTAGCAATATCAGTGTATCACTCTCAGCTCCATTTAAGGCATTTTTCAGCACAAAAGCCAGTGGATTCCATCTGGACCTACTAGTTACCCATCAGTCAAACTGTTAAACTGCATGAGCTATGAGGTTTCGCAGTAAAACAAGTCATGCACTGCCAACTAAACCAATCTTGCGGATTTATTTTAATACAGACACAAGTAAAGCTCAATAGCACCATAAATAAATGAAAAATCTAAACGAATGGTCTACAGTATACAGTACTGTTGAGAGCTGACAACGTAAAAATAAATGATAAATAAAATTAAATTCACATAGTGGAATTTGTATTCATGTCTCTGAACCAAGTGTTGTTGAATCTGTAGCAAATAAAATTAAATATAACAAAATTCTACAATATTAAAAATTAAATAATAAAATAAAAACAATATAAATGAAAAAATAATCAAATGAAATAAAATGTAAAAATATGTAAATATTTACATTTAATTTAAATGTTTTAAATTATTATTTTAATTTAGATATTTTAATGTATTTATATTTTAAAATAAAAAATACATTAAATTATTAAAATAAGATCAAATAGAATAATTCTAAAAGAAAAAAAAAAAAAAGAAGTTTTTTTAAATAAAATACACTAAAATAATAAAATTGTTTTGTTAACAATAAAAAAAAGACTGGGATTTGTATTTTCAGGTCTCTGAATCAAGTGTTGCTGTATGTGCAGCAAATAAAATAAAATATGATAAAATAAAAAATAACAACTAAATAAATAATAAAATAAAATATAAATAATGAAAATAATTTAAATAAAAAGTGCATACATTTAATAAAATAAAAATGTAATTGAAATAAAATAATTCTAAAACAAAATAAATAATAAAATATTAATTAATGCAATATAATGAAATTAAATAAAATAAAGAAAATACATTAAATTAATTACATAAAATACAATACAATTTTTAAAAAAGAAAATAAATAACGAATAAAAAGAAAATGGTTCATTACCATTGAGTACTTCTTAACTATTCCTGTAGCATCACCATGGTAGATGTAGACAGCTCCTCCATAGTCATCCTCTTTGGGGGCTCCAATCGCTACATCTACAACACAAAAGCCAAACACAGAAGTCAATGAGAAAGATGGAAACAAGGGAGAAAGACAGAATAAATCAGGGTACACACTGTATATTGTAATATTATAATATTTACCACTAATTTGTTTGTCATTTGAGACAATTTTGAGGGATTTTAAAACCTTTTTTAATGTTGGGCAAACTTGTCTAAACTTGACTACAAGCAGTGTTGGGTGTAACGCATTACTGTAATTAAATTACTTATCCACTGCAAAGGTAAAGTAAGGGATTACTGTTCATTTTTAGGTAATTTAATTACAGTTACTTATAAAGTACTTGTGTTACATACTGTAAATAATTTCAACAGTTCTAAAATCAATATTGAATTTGAAATCTAAATTTACAGTCTAAAGATAAAATTGAATGCAGTGTCTTTAACCCTCTGCGTGCCGGCGTGTTCACTCAGTTTTTCCTGATTCACAGAGAAACCTTAAATACTCGGATACAGATAAGACTAAAATCAATCGAATCTAAAAAGGGCCTACTTTTATTTGTGTACACTGACAATAACAACAAAACACTGTGCTTTTGTAAAATAAACAAAACAAACAGAGTGCGCTTTCCGCCGTCTCGGTCTCCGTGAGCAACTTTCTACGCATCACAAACTCAGCGAATACTTGACACAGAGACATGAGAAATATGTCTATAGAAAGCTTGAAGTGTCTACTTTTAAATGAACGAATTCAAATCGAAAACAGATATTCTCTGATTATGTATTCCGTATGAAACTAAAGAAAGGTACAGTCTTTCCTTCCTTCCATGACTGAGCTTATTATATGCAGTCACCTGCACGCAAACGCCCTCACCTAGATACAAAAAATAGATTAAAAAAAAAATCAAAATTCATCTAATTTTCATCGTTTTTGAAAGAAGACCTACTTTTACCTCAGAAGAACAGCGCAATCTGACAGGGCTTTATTCAGCGGAGGAGATCATTTCTGTAATTTATTCTTACCTACATTAGTTAACGTGTTATTTTTACATAAACCTGTATGGATTTTACTAGTTGGGCTTTTCCTGAACATCTTGCCAAACTGAAGTGTATTGTTTAACTTTTCTTAAGCTTTTTTGTTATTCAGATATTTTGCAGAGTATTTCTATTTGTTAACCAACGAAGGTTAAATTTTTTATTAAAATGTTTAAGTATTACACTTGTTTTAAAGCTAAAAGGCTAAACTATTCTATGTTTGACTCAAATTGAAAGAATAAAGAGTTTAATTTCTATTGTCTATGCTTTAAGGTTTATAGAGATTTTAAGATGTAGCCTAATTAGCGATTTGAATAATTAAGTTACTTATTGAGTAACTAAATTACTTTTCAGACAGAGTAATTAGTAAAGTAATTTAAATACAATATTGATGATACAATTAATAATAGTAATTAATTACTTTTTGAAAGCAACTTACCCAACACTGACTACAAGTCTTTAAGTCTTAATGGGCTACCAGTTTTAGCTGATGTTACTGCACAATCTGACATAATATAGAGTCGTCGTACACTCTGCCTTGGCTTTTACTCAAGATCTTATTGGGCTTATACAGTCTGACAAGCAGCAATCGTAAAAGTTAGAACAGAATAGCACAGTGTGTAGCCAAATTAGGTCAGACTGCCAGAGACCTACGACTGGAATAGAAACGCTGGAGGTGGATTTGTGTGTGTCAGGACCCCAATAAATGCCTGTTTGCCTTAAGCCCATCTCTGTTTGAGAGTCACTCTGCTAAGTCACTTAATGGATACTTGCGTGTTTTTGAGAGCCTGTAAAGGTCTGTGAAACTTCAGGGGGGTTGAAACCGAGTCAGAAAAAAATCCCTTGTGCATGAAAACAGCAGTACACATTTCACTACCACATATTTTCAATGTGCTGAGTTTTTGGAAACTTTTACATTTCTGTAACAGCCATAAAATGATAAATCTGAAGCACTGGCCATTCTATACAATATTTGAGACAGATTGAGACTTATTTCCTGAGACTGGCTTATTTACATGCAAAAACGATAGGATTTTTAAAATGTTTTTGAAAGAAGTGTCTCATGCTCACCAAGGCTGCATTTATTTGATCAAAAATAAAGTAAAAACATTTATATTGTAAAATATTATTACAATTTCAAATAACTGTTTTCTATTTGAATATATTTTTTAAATTAAATGTATTCCTGTGATCAAAGCTGTATTTTCAGCATCATTACTCCAGTCTTCAGTGTCACATGATCCTTCAGAAATCATTCTAATATGCTGATTTACTGCTCAAGACACATTTCTGATTATTATCAGTTATAAAAGTAAAATAAAATAAAAGCTAACAATGCAGGTACTATTTTTCCATAAGTAATACAAACAAAATGTGGATGATTTTGTATTCACTGTCTCTGGAGTGTTGTTGAATGTGTAGCTAATAAAATAAAGTAAAATAATAAAACAAAATGGAAAAAATTTAACAATAAAATAAAATAAAATAAAATAATGCAATAAAATAAAAACGAGAGAATACAATTAAAAATAACACAATAATAAATTAAATAATAAAAATGACAACAAATACAATTAAAAATTAAATTAATTAATAAAAAATAATAAAATACAATAAAGCACAAATATTGTGTCACATGATCCTTCAGAAATCATTCTAATATGCTGATTTGCTGCTCAAGAAACATTTCTGATTAATATCAATGTTTTTTGATGAAAAGAAAGTTTAAAAGAACAGCATTTATTTGAAACAGAAATCTTTTGTAACATTACAAATGTCTTTAATGTCATTTTAAATGTAACAATAAAATAAAATAAAATAAAATAATGCAATAAAATAAAAACGAGCGAATACAATTAAAAATAACACAATAATAAATTAAATAATAAAAATGACAACAAATACAATTAAAAATTAAATTAATTAATAAAAAATAATAAAATACAATAAAGCACAAATATTGTGTCACATGATCCTTCAGAAATCATTCTAATATGCTGATTTGCTGCTCAAGAAACATTTCTGATTAATATCAATGTTTTTTGATGAAAAGAAAGTTTAAAAGAACAGCATTTATTTGAAACAGACATCTTTTGTAACATTACAAATGTCTTTAATGTCATTTGTGGTCAATTTAATGCATCTTTTCTGACTAAAAGTTTTCAATTCTTTCAAAAAGAAAAAAAAAATCTTGCTGACCTCAAAAAATACCTAATAAGAGGCAGGTTAAATGCAGACAGGTTAACCTCTTGTAATCTCTTTATGGTTACAGCCTCCTAAAGCAACATTTACTACCACACTGACCCCTGAACAGTTTATCACAGATGCTTCTCAATACATATAGGCGGCACCATTTCATTACAAGGATTCTTGATTGCTTGAATTGGTTTCTTGTTCTAAGCACTGCCAACCCCCTCGCTGTTCTACACCGGAAAGATTCACTTCCTGTTTAATCCGACACATCTGTCTCCAAATTCCTCAGGCCATTTTAATTAGCTTCATCAGCTCTAATTTCTTACAGTCTCATTGCCATATTAATGGATGCGTTTGGTCTGTTTATTATGTGATGGTCAGTTTCCCTAAACGCTTTCAGGAACATTTACTGTACGAGAACACAAGGACAGTCCGTACTAAAATTACAAAAAGAGGCGACATGCAGAAAATAGAGCTACAATCAAGCAATGCATCAGGTGAAGAGCGAATCCAGACGCCAAGAAAAGCCTACGACTGGAGAGCGGGGTGCCAGGAAAATCGAGAGTGAGAACACTAGTCGTGAGGTTTGAATCTGCTTCACGTCAAAATATCTTTTCCAGTTACTTGACAAACAATGTCTGTCTGTCTCCAATACAGCGGAAATATGATTTTTGCAACATGTGCTTCTGTGATCATTTGAATTAAAGGAATATTCCAGATAAACTCAGCTTGATGTGTACACTAACACACTTACAATGCACAACTCAATATTTAAAACAGTTCAACTACCGTTCAAAAGTTTGGAGTCGATTTTTAAATGTTTCTGAAAGAAGTCTCTTATTTTAATCAAGGCTGCATTTATTTGATCATAAATATAGAGAAAACTGTAATATTGTGAAATATTATTTCAACTTAAAGTACGTGTGTTCTATTTGAATATATTGTAACATTTTCTTTAAATTTCTGTGGAAACTGTAATAAATTTTTTCAGGATTCTTTGATGCATAGCAAGCAAAAAAAAACAGCATTTATTTAAAAAACTCACATTTGATCAATTTAATGCAGCATTGCTGAATAAAAGGTTTTTTTACCTTACAGACTCAAACCCAAAATATTTCTTATGTTAAAGGATTTTAGTATTGGAAGCACTTGACAAACAATGTCTGTCTGTCTCCAATACAGCGGAAATATGATTTTTGCAACATGTGCTTCTGTGATCATTTGAATTAAAGGAATATTCCAGATAAACTCAGCTTGATGTGTACACTAACACACTTACAATGCACAACTCAATATTTAAAACAGTTCAACTACCGTTCAAAAGTTTGGAGTCGATTTTTAAATGTTTCTGAAAGAAGTCTCTTATTTTAATCAAGGCTGCATTTATTTGATCATAAATATAGAGAAAACTGTAATATTGTGAAATATTATTTCAACTTAAAGTACGTGTGTTCTATTTGAATATATTGTAAAATTTTCTTAAAATTTCTGTGGAAACTGTAATAATTTTTTTCAGGATTCTTTGATGCATAGCAAGCAAAAGAAAAAAACAGCATTTATTTAAAAAACTCAAATTTGATCAATTTAATGCAGCATTGCTGAATAAAAGGTTTTTTTACCTTACAGACTCAAACCCAAAATATTTCTTATGTTAAAGGATTTTAGTATTGGAAGTTCATGCTTTGCTCTGATGTGCAATCATTTTGGGCGCAAACAAATTTCGTACACTGACCTTGGTAGCCATCGTCATCAATGTCCCCAAGAGATGTGATACACTCTCCAAAATGAGCATTGTATGCATTGTCACCGTTCAATATTGCAACTTCCTCCATCACTCCCTGAACAAACAAGTACAAAAAACATTGTTTATACTCAAAACATTTGTCAAGTTGAATGAAGACACTTACCTTCAAATTTAAGTCTTGGTCATTTATGGCATAATGCAACTTGGTCATTTATAATGTTGTTATAGTGTTGTGCCATTCAAGTGTTGTTTATGACAAAATTGGCATCTTTAAAGGAAAATGTCCAAAAATAAAAATGTACTGATCCAAGATGTAGATGAGTTAGTTTCTTCATCAGATTTGGAGAAATGTAGCATTCCATCACTTGCTCAGCAATGGATGCTCTGCAGTGAATGGGTGCCGTCAGAATGAGAGTCTAAACAGCTGATAAAAACATCACAATAATCCACACCCCTCCAGTCCATCAGTTAATGTACGGTGAAGCAAAATATGCATGTTTGCAAGAAACAAATCCATCATTAAAACTTCTGGCTAAAATATAAGTCCTCTATCCATAATATTGTTTTCTCCAGCGAAAAAGACGTCTGGTCTGAATCAGGAGAGAAATATGCACAGATCAGGAGCCATTTACAAATGAATAAAGTCCCAAACAGCTCTGATGTGAGAGGATCACAGAGGATGGCCTTTTTTTTTTTACTGGAGGAAGATTTATTATGAATTATGGATTCGTATTTTGGCCAGAAGAAAAGGTTTAAAGTTAAAAAGTCTTAATGATGGATTTTTTCCTTCCAAACAGGTAGATTTTCACTTCACAAGACGTTAATTGATGGACTGGATTATTGTGATGTTTTTATCAGCTGTTTGGACTCTCAGTCTGACCATTGATCATTTTATCCAAATCTGTTCCGATGAAGAAACAAAATCATCTACATCTTGGATGGCCTGATGGCATTTTCAGCAAATATTCATTTTTGGATGAACTACTCCTTTAATAAGTAACACAGATGTAAGTGAACTCACATTACCACTGCTGAGGTAAACAGAAACCTGGCCTTCATCCCGGATCTCGCTGTGCATGGGTGCTCCCACCAGCAAGTCCGACAGTCCGTCCGCGTTAAGGTCAACTGCACACAATGAGGAGCCAAAGTAAGAGCCCATCTGAAACCAAGCCAAGCCAAGAGCAAACGGGTCAGGTTACAACGCCATGCACAGGGCACATCACTCCTCCATAAGATGCATTACCTCAAAGTCAAGCTACAATTTAGCTCCTCTGCCCATATATGAATGTATATGAAGATGAATGAGAAATAAGAGCCGGTTTTCAGCTAACAGCTTAAATTTAGTCCTTTTATCACACAAAACTAGAGCATGAGTCACATATAGTACTTTAACCCTGTAAAGGCTGACTTATGAAATAATAGTCAGAAAAATCCTTTTAATTTAAATGTGTTTATTTATTTTTAAATGGAACTGTTTTGCTGAGCATCATATTTCATACATAAGGCTTTTATTTGGTGCAGTTGCTGATATTTATATGGCCAAAAAGTAAGATAAAATATATAAGAAAATAAATGATCTTTATAACATATAGCAGACTACTTAATAAAACTCTACAACAAAAAACTCATAACATAATAACAGATGTCACTCTCATATCTCCCAATATGTCTTAGTAAGACTGATGATACTCTCATTTGATTTGTTTAAAAAAGTATATGGATAATCAAGTAAAGCTGAGTTGCTTCAGTCCAGTAAGTGTTTATCCTAAAATATTACAATATAAAGGTTATACTTTATATAAATCAGTAAACTATTCACAGCAAGAGACATGTGAACCAACCCCTGAAGGTGGACTAAAAGGTATTTTACTTGCTAAAAAAACATCAATCAGGTGACAGAAGGCATGTACTGTAGTAGATTGTGTACAGAAGATTTTAGCTCAATTTTAATCATGTTGATAATCACAGGCCTTAGAAATGTGATCTTTATAACATATAGCAGACTACTTAATAAAACTCTACAACAAAAAACTCATAACATAATAACAGATGTCACGCTCATATCTCCCAATATGTCTTAGTAAGACTGATGATACTCTCATTTGATTTGTTTAAAAAAGTATATGGATAATCAAGTAAAGCTGAGTTGCTTCAGTCCAGTAAGTGTTTATCCTAAAATATTACAATATAAAGGTTATACTTTATATAAATCAGTAAACTATTCACAGCAAGAGACATGTGAACCAACCCCTGAAGGTGGACTAAAAGGTATTTTACTTGCTAAAAAAAACATCAATCAGGTGACAGAAGGCATGTACTGTAGTAGATTGTGTACAGAAGATTTTAGCTCAATTTTAATCATGTTGATAATCACAGGCCTTAGAAATTTATGTATCAATATGATACAGTAGGCTTTATAGAGATAATTATGCTTTTTGCCTTTTTAGGGTTTCGACAGTCTCAGTCCCTACAAATTCTCCAAAACAACTCTTTCTGTGTTCTTCAGAAAAATAACTTTTCCTATTAAGTAACTATGATGGATTATATCAACATTTTATATTTGGAATAAATTACGTTTGTAAATAATTAGAAAACCTGAGCATCATACTCACCATTTTCCCTGAGGCTTCAAAGGTCTTCACAAGAGCCGTTCCTTCGATTCTGAACATGTAAACCTAAAATATGGACGACAATGTAGTTTTGGAATGTCAAAGTGAGTGTAATGTAAACAGAACATGGAAGCAATGATGCAATTTCTGCAAGAAACTACTCACTTTTCCACCACCACTGTCTTGAGGAGCACCCGCCGCCACGTCTATGGTATTCAGGGAGGAGAAGTGACCAGCAGTCACAGCATACCCTAAAAAACACTAATCTGTGACGGACTGGCTACAGCATGAAAATTGAAGCGGTTATTAATATCTGAGCAGGTATTACCGAGGTAACTGTATCTGTGAGGACTCAGGTTGTCTTGATTTAGGTTGTAGAGAGTATTGGATGTCATGTTAAACACTTTGACCGTTCCGGTCCAGTAGTAAGAACCAGGTGCACCCATGATAACCAGCTCCTAAAAAATGAAACAAAAAGCAATAGAGATCCATTCAAAAGCCACCGATTTTTCACAGGAAAAAAACACAGAGCTGTTGGTGAGGCCCTGGTCAACCGAAAGCCACAAACTATGCTGTATTATCTGCTGCAAACCCCACCGTGAGCTGAAAGGACGGCTGTCGTTTGTTGCTTTAATCACTCAATGGGGTCTTAAGCTGAAGGAGAACTCAAGCCTTTGAACGGTTTTAATTGCTCCACATTGTCACACTTCAAACAAGACAAGTCGTTTGTTTTACATGGCCACAGCGATGGATCACAACAGTAGATTAAGGAGCAAAAATGCCCTTCCTGTACTCCATAAGGATTTTTTTGTGATACTGTATAAATGTTTCAGGACAAGTTGTAAAGCAATGACAAATTTACTTCATTTAAAAGTAAGTAGTACATATGCCAAAAATTGTTATTTGCTGAAATCAATACTAAGCTCTAGAAGAGAAGTCTGTATTAGAGAATCAGAGAATTCAGATTTTTTTATACTAATATATTGCATATATGTGCAATAAAAATAAATATATAATATCATATAATATACACTGATGCTCAAAGTTTGCGGTCAGTAAGATTTTTTTAGAATAAACAAATACATTTATTAATATTAAAATTAATACATTTTATTCCAAATAATTGCTGTTCTTTTGAACTTTCTAATTATCAAAAAATCCTGAATAAAAAATGTGTCATGGTTTCCACAAAAATATGAAGCAGCACAACTGTGTTCAGCATTGATAATCAGTAAATGTTTCTTGAGCAGCAAATCATGATTTCTGAAGGATCATGTGACGCTGAAGATAATGACGTAATGATGCTGAAAAGCCAGCTTTGCATTACAGAAATAAATTATATTTTAAAATAATATTCAAATAGATAAGTTATTTTAAATTGTTATAATATTCAAACAGTACTGTCAAAAGTCAATAGTTTTATATTGTTTAATTTAAAAAATTTTTTTGGCAATGCTTAGAAGCCTTGAAAAATCCCTATTAAAAAAATAGAACGGAAAAAATACTTGTGAAACCAAAGCCACTGAAAAAGTTGCGGGTCCCTGTTGTGCTCTAATCGACATTCAGTATATAATTCAAAAACTGCACAATTTGTCATAAATGTTTGGCTATGAATCTTTGGCAGAAAAAATAATTTTCCCTTTTTCCGACACTCATTATCTCAGAGGATACAAATATAAAAGTGTGGGCACATGGAATATCTCTCATGTGACGAGGAAACAGGGTCTTTACATAGCTGTTTTGAGTTCTATCAAGCCACAAATGCTTTTTCCATTTCACAACGCCTGACTGCTAAAAAACCCACACAAATGCTGTTTGACTCGGTCAGTCCTGCCAAACACGTAAAAACAGCACCTCCAGCTGAGTCGACAGCATTCAATCAAGACATCTGTTTAAGACACTTAAGGTCTTGAAGGTCACTTAAGACGTTCTGCCAAATGATAACGTGCCATTACCATCCAAACTACAAAGCAGCCGATGCAGATGCCATTCTGCTATGGGTTAATTCCTCTCTGTGAATGTCTAATACTAACTGACCTGAGGTCAGCTTTAATGCAACAAGACAACAATAGGTCTGTTTGAAAACCTAGTGAACTGCCTTGCATTTCTCAGCCATCTCTTACAATACACAGTCTGATAAATGAATAACACCTCAGTAATCGCAATGTGCAGGGAGTGAGTTTCCAGTCATATTTCGTTCTTGTTTAAGAAAAGCTAAGTGAAGAGGGTCAGTGAGTGATCTGTGATGATATTGATGAACTGTTGGGCATCACATCTGTCAGCCTGTGTTCTCGTATTTGTTCCAGACATTACATCCAAAGCCTGGACTGCATGTTAATGGATTGGCTGCACTACAGAGAAAACCCTGCAATGGTCAACGTACAAAACAAAGGGCGAGTGGACAAACAATTCACAGCCTTCGGCAAACGTGTGCATCACACACAAGCTGTCTGAATTCTGTTCAAATTCCTACAGGGATCTGTTCAATAGAGGCCGTGGACACAAACCAACAGGCCTGCTGAGTTAAAGACTGGAATTAATGCAACCTTCCTTTTAAAGAGGTAGTTTAAATTGAAATTTTGTCATAATTTACAAAGCGTTCCAAAGCCATATGAGTGTTATGAATGTTTTCTGTTTTTTTCATACAATACGTTACTAGGGGCTTTCAAGCACAAATAAATAAATAAATAAATAAATAAAATAAAATTTGATAATTGCATAATAAAGTAGTGTAGCGACTCAGCTCATGGGAAGCTGGAGGGTTTACGACCCTTTGTCTCTAAGCATGGTAATTTGCAAATGGACTTGAATCGACATTACTAAAGATTCTCAGGACCCTCTAACATATATTGCCTATGTACCAATATATAATATACACGCTTGTTTCGATCATAAGAAGGCGAATTCATAGATACTAAGCAAGGTAGGATTACAAATAGTGAAAGGATGACAGGAGTGTGTTTCGATTATATAAACCTGCATCACAGTATACAATTTCAAAGACAAAATACACAATGACAATAATATACCCAATGACCTGAAGGATCATGTGTGTTCATTCAAAGAAAGGTTTTCCTATTAATTAATTAACAAAGAAAAGTCCTTCCCTTGTGGATTTTCCTTATGGGCAAGGAAGCGATTTTCTTCACCTAAATTCCAGGAGGTCGTAAATGTATCGGGTGTCAGCATTGCTATGGAACCAGGGGCCTGTTCAGCTTCCTGGGGTGTTACAGAGTATTTGTTCAATCTAGCTAACAAAATATATATTGTGTGTTTGAGTGGTCCAGACGCTACAGTAGTCAATATCACTTTTGCAATATAGTTAACAACAAGTTAACAATAAGAACCCCAATTTTCCATTCTACACAACTCAATTCTCATTCGCATATGGGCATATTCAAATGCATATTAAAAATATTCAGATGCGAATCATGACTACTTTTATTGATCTTCATATAATCACAAAGAGAAGAACAGATTGGAAATTCTGTTAAACATCTTCATTTGTGTTCTGAGGAGGAAAGAGCATCACACAGGTTTGGAATGACATGAAGGTGAGTAAATGATGACAGACATCTTTAGTTGAACTACCCCTTGAAGAGTAAATATATCAGTCATACTTGTGAGTCATTATGTGAGTGTTCATACATGTAATCACAGCACAGACTCGCCAGCCCAGAGCACCACACATGTGAAAACGCATAACACGCTCGTACTTCTACTGACCTCAGTGAAAACGCCTGCGATCCCGGCTTGGCACGAGCCATGTTCTTCCCCATAGGTCTTCTTATGGTCTGTGAGAGTGAGTAGGGGGACAGAGAGAGGGACAGAGAGAGAGACAGAGAGAGAGAGAGGAAGGGGAAAAAACAACAGACCACAAATGATTTTGCTGTGAGTTTACTGGAGTTCTTCCGACATTCCATAAAGAGTTAGTCAAAGTCCCAACTCCATCCAAGAGGAATCTGGGGGCCGAGAGACAGACTGTGAACGACCCAGCAGCTTCGCGTTCAACAAAACTCTCGCTCTGGGGAGGGGGGGGATCACTGTGCTCTCCGGTTACAGAAAATATTGGGCTTGGATCCCCCCATGATGCACTGCACACACATAGAAGGCCACCGATGGCAACTCACTGGAGTCGGGAAAAGATATGGAAGGAAATATATAACTCGGGAGTTGGATACAGAAACTAATTCTGATCAAGAATTCATGCAATTCCCTCCTTCGCTCTTTCCGCAGCAAATCAAGACATCTATCAAATACGAGGAATCCTACTGGGATGATGAAATTCGATGTTGATGGAGGAGTTGAATTTAATATACTACAATAACATCTGTCAGAAGTATAATACGTGATGGGGGGAACGATAAACAGCGAGCGTGAGCCAGTTCTGATATTGACAGGTGTTGATTGGCACCAGAAACAAGTTTTTGTGCATCTGTGGCATGTCGTCGATTACCACAGATAATAGTTTTGACTAATTTCACAGTTTGTAAAGATAAGCAAAAATTGTGTGTTGCCATTAATGCACTTTGGGGTAAAGCACTGCACTGGGATGGAAATTAAAATATACACTATTTTGAAAGTATAGCCACAAAACTTAAACATAATGCACTGTAATATGAGGCTAGTGTAAGGAAATTTCTAGCTGACCTAATCTGTTCAAAATTACATTCAATATTTCTCCTATGATCAGTATGAAATCCTTAAACACTTGCTTGAAATGCACAAGGAAAGGAGATATTGATGAAGAAAAACTGCCTTAATAAAAATAACTGTGAATTCTGCTATTTAAATAAATAAATGAAAAAGTTAAATTAAAATAATAAATAAAATAAATTTAAAAAGTAGAAATTATTTTCTGTGGTATATAACAATATGCCACATATTCCAGTAAAGCTGTTAAATTTTAAACACAGAATAAACAAACAAACAAACAAATAAATAAATGGAAAGTTAAAACTTTTTTGTGGTATATAATAGTCACAAATTAAAGAAAATAATATTATGAACCTGGAACATTCTTTTAATTCTAAATAAATAAATAAATAAATAAATGAGAATTTGAAATTGTTTTCTGTGGTATATATTATTTTGCCACAAATTCAGGTAAAGCTGATAAAATTATAACCCTGGAACTGTCCTTCAATGAGTATGTTTTGTCATCTCTCAATATCATAAAGTTATTATTATTATTAATAATAGCAGGGGGGTTTAGTAGCATGGTGACATAACGGTCTTTTAAACATGCACTGTGGTCACAACATTTGCTAAAATAAAGGCTAAACTGTCCTTTATCTTGATGTGCAAAAAGTCAAATATTTAACCATCATAACCCCAGATGTGACCTCCAAACTCCCAGATGCTGCGCCCTGCCTGACGGGTCATATTTCTCTCCAGCGTGCTGCTTCTTTCTGATTCTGGAGGTGCCAGTGCTTTGATGCCAGAAAACATCAGTCTGAGGTTTTGGAGGAAGTTCAGGGCGCCATAGCTCATTGTGAAGCCCGTTGTGAACATGTGCCACAGTAAACAGTGTCATTTTTCCAGCTTGTTCTGAGGGTTTTTAAGGCTTGAACTTGGCCGTCATTTCTATAGTCTACTTCAATGGAGTGTTTGCTGGACTTCTAGTTTGATGAAGACCAGAAATTCTCTAACAATAGGCCTGATTATCACTAACTACCTCACAATACATTATACAGTGTCATACATATCAAAGATTCAGTACGCACTGTAATGAATCACCGTATCATAACTGAACCACAATTTCACCCGGCATGTAGAGTGAATATGCAGAATCAGTTTCAATCTCTCACGTTCTTGTCTTAGGACAACTTTGATTAACTTTTTTGATCCACTTCAAATGTTGACTACTATATATATATATATATACACACACACACACACACACACACACACACACACTTATAAAATATTATATTATTAAATACTATAATAGTACATAAATAATCCTCAAAGATAATTGAGATGAGTTAAAGTCGTAAAGAGCATGTCATACCTTCATAACACGGTATGAGAGGCTGTGACTTGCCCTGCAGAGTGGCTGGGATGACGGAGCAGTATCCGTGAGGGAGGATATACTCCGATTCATAGTATACATTCTTCCAGCGGTGAGCGCAGGCCTGCAGACAATACAAGAAAAAGATGAAGAGTGAGAGACAAGAGCTATAGAAGTGGGATACTTAATTTGACAGGAATGCCAGGTATCAGGTAAAAGACAGTACAATTACAACCCATTAAACAGACTCTACATTCCTTGCAGCCTCAGGTGTTTAGCATGACAAAGGTATATATAGCACACACATCAGGTCTGAAATTGCATAGTAATTAGAGCCCGACCGATATATATCGTTTAGCTGATATTATCGGCCGATATGAGCCAGTTGGCGATATATTGGTATTGGCGAATATGCTGCCGGTATGAATTTTTTTTTACAGAACGTATAATGCAGATAAAATGCTTGAAATGGTGTATTTACTTAGTTTGTCCAGCAGAGCGCGCTCCATTGTTTGCTACTGGCGACCTGGATGAAACGCTTTAAAACTTAAGTCTATGGAAAACCATTGAAACTTTGAACGACCATATCTCCGTAAAGGCGTGGCGAATCTGCACCAAATTCGGAGGATCTCTTCAGCTCGAGGAACCCTCTTGAACGCGAATTGAGTGTACGTCTCGAGGCCCTCTTTCGAATGAGACCACCCCCGCGTTGATAGCCCTCGGGGTTCGGGAGTTATGGGTGGTTAAATTTGCGGTCCGGCCGACCGATATAGCAATCCCAGGGGGCTACCGATGCACGGAGGGTGGCGTTCGAGAGGGCTCCTCGAGCTGAAGGTATCCCCCGAATTTGGTGGCGATCCGCCGGCGCGTTCGCGAGATAGTGACACCAGCCAACACTTTCGCTTCAGTAAGGAGGTCTCTTGTTCAGGCAGCAGCATTCAAGCGCTGTTATATTCGACCGTAAGTACCCTGCGAAGTGGACTTCACATGATATTCCGCCATGATTCCAGGTCCAAGGGAACGTACACGTTACATTCAAAGGGCATTAAAGTGCGCAAGACGTGAATTTATATTTATTTACAGAGGTATATTATGTCACACTTCTCTAGTAAGTTTCGTCTGTGTGTGAAGACAGTAGGCCTAGCGCAAATCCGTGAATGAATATTCCAAAGTGAAATAAACTTCAATGGAATAAAGTTGAATGGAATTGAATTAAAGTTGAATAAACTTCAACTTTACTGTTCAGTGCCCTGATGCCAGAGTCATTTTGGATAATACAGTTTATTGTTAAATTGTTAAATACCCTGCCTCCATCATTACATATCTTTGTCACCTCATTATAAGTGTTTGATCACCACATTTGATTAATCATTGCAAAAAATGTGTTTATGTATATATATTCTGTTTATGTATATACTGTATTCTATATATAGTACCAGTCAAATGTTTGGACACACGAATGGGAAAGTGTCCAAACTTTTGACTGGTACTGTACTATAATATACACAAAGAATATCGGCCTTTTTTTACTCCCTAATATCGGTATCGGCCCCAAAAAACCCATATCGGTCGGACTCTAATAGTAATTGCACCAAGAAACAAACAGGATACACAGACAAAGCTTCATCTCTTTATCCCAGTGTCAAATTAACTTCTGAGGCAAAACCAGAGCACTCAGCACAGAGCCAAGTCTGGAAACGGCTGTGGATCTAATATGTCCACTGAGAGAGGGTTGGTGGTTTTAGAAAGCTGAGCATCTTCATTCAAACAGCTCTGATCTCTGGAACAACAGAAGTGCTCAAGGCTGTGAAGGCAGCCAGAGAGCAGAGAGACACTGCGAGAGAGAGAGAAAGCAGAAAGGTCATAGACAGAGGATAATAACTAAAGTAGAGCTGCATTTCCTGACGGAAATCACTGAAGGAAGTTCTTGCAAGGCAGAATAGTGTTAAAGTTTCAGTTAGGTTTATTAGCTTGTTACAGAAACGCAAAGAGTCTATGCATTAATACTTCTATCTTAATGTTCTCATGATTTTGACATACTTTTCCTCAAGATTTTAACATAACACTTTTTATGCTGATCTTGATTTATTTGTTGAATGGGGAAAAATGCTAGGGATGCAAACATCTGGTATTAATCAAAATATCCCAATGTACATATAAAGTACAAAAAAAGAAAAGAAAAAAATCACAAATGTACAAAATACTGATTAAATAAAAAAACACAAATGTATATAAAATATAAAACATACATAAAAACATAAAATACTGATTAAATAAGTCATTAAATAAAAACACTATATATATATATATATATATAGGGCTGCATGATAAATCGCATGCGATATTTAATGCGCATCTTGTCAGAAAGCCAGTTCTGTAATCAGCGGTAAATCTCCATCACCTGTGGGCTTTCACATTGAGCAGCATTAACTACACCGAGCCGTTGTTCACTGATGAGCTGCGCAAAAAATTGCGCGAATATGAACGTGGTTTTGCTGATTACAGAACCGGCTTTACTGATAAGATGTGCGTTAAATATCGCATGCGATTTATCGTGCAGCCCTATATATATACATATTCATTCTTCATCCTCCCGACTAAGACAAAATGAGAAAAAATAAAACTTTTAGGATCTTAAAAAAAAACTTCAGAAAATAATAAGTCACAAGAGAACAAGCCAAATATTATTATTATTAATAATAATAATGCAATTTTTTTTAATCAAAAAATTATAAAATACTGATTAAATAAAAAAAATGAAAAACAATATTTTATAGAAATGGATTTTGTTACCTTCTGACCAAGACAAAATAAATTAATAAATAAATAAAATAATAATAATAATTTTAGGACCTTTTAAGGGAAAAAAACCTTAGAAAATCATGTCACAATGATAAGATACCAAGCCCAATAAATAAATAACACATGAGCTCTAATGGCATGTGTTTTTTCTTCTAAGTGAATAAAATGCCACATCAGAGCTGTTTTTCTGCACTCATGACACACATCTTGTTTTCTGTGCATTAGAGACTGTAGACGCAAGAATAAAACCCAATTGCAATTCGATATGCAAATACTGCAATAACATCGTTACTCTCGGTTAGATATGCATAAATATTCATCCCCGTAGCACAAACTGTTTACACATCAAAGTATAATACATTGGTTTATGTGTTTCTATGAGAAATAGTGGTACTTGTCTCAGCAAACACCATTAACAAAAAAGAAGCACACAAGACTGAATTCAACTATAATCAAGTCATTATACCCTAGGAAAAAATATGGAAATGATCAAGCAACAAACCAAAACCTTTCTGTTTTGCTCATTAATAGAGTCCCATAATCATATGCCACAAACTTTCCTTTCCCTATTTTATCAAATCCCTCATCGAGGAGCTCAGGACCTGTGGAGAAACCAAATTCCCTCCAAAACAGTTCAGCTTCCTGTTTCTATAGTTCCAACAGCGCTTACACAGTCCATTGAGATAAACAACCGAGTTAAAGATATTACAGCCACACAGATTCATATGAACACACACATGATGTCAGATGACTATCTGGCAGTAGTTTGTTTTGTTGAGAAACACTGCTAGTCTGTTTGACAGTGTCAGAGCCTAGAGCAATCTGCTCAACTGTGCAGGCAGCATCATCTAAACTCATTCGATAACCATCTCAGCTGAATGTCAATAAAACAACCTCAGCCTAATGACAACCAAAGGAACAAACTCCAACTTATTCCCTGGCAGCCAGTGTTGGGAAACACACAGGACAGACGTAATGAAACACGTAATGCTCAACTAAATCAGGAACGAGTTTGAGAGGCTCTGAGTCACCGCGGATCACGGGCTAATCATGTTCCTGCTCATGCTGAGAGCTGATTGGTTGAGTGAAGGCCACCACATCTGCACAACAGCTCTCTTACGTGCCTTACATATAAACGTGAATCTCTTCAAATACAGCTATTTGTTGCGGTGGGTAAACACATACATCTAAAAACATCCAGTTGAAGTGATTTCAGGTTATACACAAAATATGTTTTGTATACCCACAGCTTTCATTGCAAATCTATGGAAGCTCGTTTTCGGCATAGAAGGCAATTGGGACTTTTTATATTATAATTCTGAAAAAGGGTAAAAATTGCGAAATATGGAGGAAAAAAAGTCAAAATTGTGAAATAATTTTTTTTTTTTTTTATTATTCCGTGGCAGAAACAGGCTTCCATAATAAAAGAAAACAAAAAGTTAGAATTGCAAGATGGAAACCCAGACTAATTTTCGTGCAAATTGAACTTCATATGGCTTCGAAAACACGCAGGCGATTTCAGGAATCACTTGATATAACGTAGATAAAAAATATAGCACAAATCTGCCATAAACATAACATAAGCATTAAGGCCGTTTCACACTGAGCGCAATGTGAAAAAGTGAGGCGAATCGCAGACGTATGTTGCTTTCACACCGAGTGCAAAACGATTGATCGCCTTCTGCTAATTCAGCAGCATTAAATTAAGAAAAATAACTTTTGGTTCTTCATTATAAACACAAACTATCCATAATGCTAACAAGAATACATCTGAAAATATAATTAGGCTAGAGTTACAAATAGCATCAAGCTACATTTCAAAACGCATGTAATTATTAATGTTTTTGCTCAAACCCCACTTGAAACCATCATCGAGTGCTTGTAATAACTTCCGATTGTGATCTAAAATGGATTTTGATTCTATAATAGGTAGACATGCACTCTTTGTATGTTTCATAATAGACTGAACGCTACCTGCTTTTCATAAACATCCTTTATTGTTATAAAAATACTGTGAGCTGCATAAAACATACAGAAAATATATCTTCATAATCATATGTCTATTTGTTTTCATATTTCACGTGTAGAAAAATGTTTCTCTTTTTTTTATATACAGAAGGGCAAGAGATGGTGCTCTCCAGATCACATAATTCAGTGGAGAATTAATAGAAATGGTATTCTGTATAAAGAACGTGAGAATAAATCTGTTCTCAAATACCAACGATAACAAGAAATCAGAATCCACTTTCTTCTCTCTACAGGGATACTCTTCTTCGGTGTTTGTTTCCAATGGTTTTCAAATAGCGCCACCATTCTCACCCTTTTGTGGGACAGCAGCTGCTCCAGGCACGTGATCTAAGCTCAAATCTGATTGGATGGCCCGTTTAATCGCGGAGCGATGGGGGAAAAAATCGACACACAAAACGAAAAAAAAAAACTTTGCTTTTTCGCACCGCGAATGATCGCGCCTAGTGTGAATAGCTCTATTAGGGATCTATCCATACTGGTAAAAAATGTATAGCCTGAATGCACTGTAAGTCGCTTTGGATAAAAGCATCTGCTAAATGCATAAATTATTATTATTATTATTATTAAATGATCTATTGTTTCGATTCAAAAGTGTCATCGCGCCAAGCATTCGCGCCGATTTTCGCGTTCAGTGTGAAAAGCCCTTTATAATGAGAACTTTATAGAACTCTATAGTTAATTCTCCTTGAGAATTGTAATTATCAAAATAAACAGCTTTTCATGTAATATTTTTATTTTTAACATTCATTTTCATAACAGTCTTAAGATATTTTCATTATCTCCATTATGGCCACGCCATTTTTTTTTAGGAATCTTGGACAAATAAAGGTCAAAAGAACAGCATTTATTTGAAATAGAAATCTTTGTAACATTATAAATGTTTTAACTGTCTCTTTTGATCAGTTTATGAGCTCAAATGGAAGCATACATAAAGCTTATGGTGCAAAATATCGAAAAACCCAATGTCACCTCTGTGGTGAAATACACTATAAAAAACAAATAGTTCTATCTCTAAAATCTGATTGCATGAGCCACATCGCCACATTGGTGAGCCACATCTCCTGCCAAACTCCTCCTGATTGTGTTGGCATCTCCCTTGCACACGCCCAAATGCCCATATGTTTAATCCGGTTCTGACCTGTAAATACTAATCTACCAACCAAATTACCATCATTACAGCTCAACCTCTTTGATTTGAACATATCAGCGCTGTAAGTGTCCTTGCCTCTGATCAGACCACCCTGATCCTGCCTTCCTGTAAGACGCCCATCAAAACCCAGAGAAGCTCAAGGCTTCAACCCCCATGGCAGCTGAAAAGTAACGAGGAGTTCGACCTCGAGTTGGACCACCACAACACAATTCAAGCCTGAAGAAACCAAGAAACCCAGTAGACTGATGCTGATGTCTTGTTTGACTTGTTTGTCCAGTTAAAGTGTCTATTCTGGAGCTCTAGTTTGTCATCATGAGAAAATGACCCTCACTTCAAATGCTTTCTCTTGATGTACAGAACAGCTGGAGTTTAACAATGCGGTTGTCATGAAACATTCTATAACAATGATGGCTTCTTCATTTCTGCCCATGTTTTACAAGTCGATGTGGTTTGTGTTAAACAACTGCTGAGACGGTTGAAAATTCAGCCGTTAAAGGTCGTTAAGAACAAAAATTGTGGAACAACAGATGAAATAAAGCATGCTTGAAGCTATTATTACTAAAAAAAAAAAGTCTATTGTACTCTCATTGGAGAAAAGCATCAGTTTCCTACTCTGATTCATGCACAAAATCACTCAAATGTTGACTCAGCACATAAAAATCCAGACAACATTGATCATAATTACCTATTTAACGCTGAGTCTTTCATCTTTGTGTTTTATGTAAACTTTGAACAGGTTTCCTTTCTAATCTGCTTCCTCAAAGTAAATGTTCCGTGCAATATTAAGTGCTGCAAAAATAAGCCCTAAAACCAAGAAACAAGTTCATATTTTTGCACTTCTGGTTCCATCATCCCAGAGTCGACAGGTTTTTTGAATGGTTAAATGCCTGAAATAAGGTCTGTATTTAACACAAGCTCTTAATATGCTCACATTTTATTCTAAAACATAAAATACCTCAGTACTACCCCACTCGTGATTTTTTAAGCTTTTACTTGTCTTGAAAAAGGTGAACAAGTATCTAAACGGGACTACAGAGGTTGTCGGTGATGCTAAACATTGTCACACTGAAACTCATCTACTCACTAGTCCCTTTTACAGCCTTGTAAGCATCCCAACTTGTATATTTTTAAAAAAGGATTGAAAGATTTGTCAGAAGCTTAGTTGTGCAACCTTATTAATAGCCTAACTTCAGGTTTTTACTTCTGGAGATTGTATTTAGACATCAAAATTCTATGCCATGCATGGCGCAAGAAATCGCAGGGTACAAGGTACGTCTCGACTCATTAGTGTTGCCAGATCTTGCAATAAAAAAAAAACACAGCAATTAAGAACAAGCCAATAATAAACATAAATCCAAATGCAATACCTTGGAAATAAGCCACATACCATAATATCACAACCTGGGCCTGCCTACTTTATTAACTCCATAAACTGGATCGCTTCACCCAACAACAAACCCAAAGATGTTTAATAAGCATTTTATAAGCATTGCTTATAATATGTGGACATGGCAACCCTTCAAGAGCGCGCACTGCAAAGCGACCTTCCAAACATAAACCAAACTGTAATTTAGGGGATGCACTCCCACATTTAAATGCGGTTGTCACTCCTGAAACTTTACAGTGCATAAACTTTTGCTGGCCACAGAGTTAATTTTCTGTAAAAACCAATCCAAACTATTCCAAACCAGAATCCAATTGGTTTTTGTAAAAGGAACCATGGTGATGATGACTTCCTGGTTGGCCTACAAAATGATGTCATCCCCGTATCACTCTATAAGCCACATGGCTTCAAAACAATTCATACAATCAGAATTTGGTGTCACAGTTGGGAAAGATTACTTGTTTTCTGCGTTTTCTGCTTCAAAATGGAACATACCAGAATTTTGCCATTGGGTTTGTCCTGTCGAGCCAGACTGACCCCCATCCACTCGTCATTTCTGTCGCCTTGACACGTCTTCCCACAGGACTCCCTCTGCTTATTTCCTAGAGTACAGAATGAGAACGTTACTGTAGCCAACAGAGAGATAAACATCCCTGTCTGTAACTAGAAACACAATAAAATCACTTCAAGACAGCCTGAAACAGAAGTCAGACAGTCAATGTTTGAGACCGTTTTATATGCTTGAATACAGATAATACTGCTTTGTGTTGGTAAGATAAGTACACAAAATATTTGCAATGTAAAACTCATGTGTATCAAATGCAAATATAAACTTCAGTGTTCACAATACTGATGGGCAACTGCTCTACATGGATAATCAAAGTCTAGAAGCTCTATTTTTATTTCTATTGGCCAAATCAAGTTCCAATCCCACAATGTAGTAGTAAAAAGATGCGAGCAACCTCTTAAATCCTGGTTAATGAACTTTCCTAAAATGATCATCAAAGCCATGCAAAACACATCTAGACTACTTCTTGTGCATATTTCTCTATACAAAAAAGTACCATGATATACCAAAAGGTACCATTGTCATAAATAGCATGGTACATTAATCTGGTGATCATTCAGTACCATGGTATATAGTCAAGCCATGTCACATTTATTTATATAGCACAGGGGTGGCGAACGTCGGTCCTGGAGAGCCGCAGCCGCAGCCCTGCAGAGTTTTGCTTCAACCCTAATCAAACACACCTGAACAAGCTAATCAAGGTCTGAAGGGTTACTAGAAAGCTGCAGGCAGGCGTAACATTGGTGACCTCGGAAAATATAAACCATGAGATATCAGCTTCTTGAATCAGACATGATCTATTTTGGAGGTATTCTATTGTCTATTTTGGGTATTTAACTGAGCAAAAATGGAGGATTTACGAGCAAGGCGTGTTATTCCTGCAGGGAGTTTATCTAAGCATAAGGGTAGGCTTTAATATTTATCTATGAGCGTTGAGCTACAGCGGCCCTCTGAGGGGCAAACTGTGATTGTCCACAGGAAAAAGAGTGATGGCTCCCGAGACAGCGGCTGTTTTCTTTGGCTCTGGTTCTTTTCTCCTCCTTCTCAGCAGACTGACAGCATCAGTATAAAGACTTAAGTCTGCATAATGCCCAACTGAACTGGGATTCCTATTCTACTCCCACCCAGATTTGACTGAATGAATCAATGCATAACCAGAAATCTTCACACCAGCCCAAAAACTAGTAAGCTGTCTTGCAGTCTACTTCCTACGAAGACAACATCCTTACTCTCTTGGAACCTCAAAAGTGATTTGAAATGCCGTAAAAGTCTCAAACAAATAATGCACTAGACTCAACTAGTCTGATGTTAAAAACAAAACACTAATAAGCACACAAATATTGGGTAAACAGCTTGTTGTTTATTAGATTATTTTTATCAATACTTATATAAGTACACTACCATTCAATACATTTTTTATGTTTTTTAAGTCTCTTTTGCTCACCAAGGCTGTGTTTATTTGATCAATAAATACAGTAAAAACAGCAAAATTATGAAATATTCTTAAAATGTAAAATAATGGTTTTCTATTTGAATATATTTTAAAATATAATTTGTTTCTGTGAAACAAAGCTGAATTTTCAGCATCATTACTCCAGTCTTCAGTATCACATGATCCTTCAGAAATCAGGAAACATGCTGATTTGCTGCTCAAGAAAAATTACTTATTATTATCAATGTTGTGCGACTTCATTTTTGTGGAAACTGTGATGCTGTTTTTTAAGACTCTTTGATGAATAGAAAATTTAGATAAACAGCATTTATTTGAAATAGAAATCTTTTGTTACATTATGAATGTCTATACTGTCACTTTTGATAAATTTAGAGCATCCTTGCTGATTAAAACTTCTAAGAATCTTACTAAACCCAGACATTTAAACAGCAGTGTCATGTAGAATGTTTTGGTGATCCTGGTCTATCTGCAAGACTAGCACTAACCAGGAGAAACTAGCATGTACTAGGATGGAGATGTATAAGCCAGTCTTTTTTTAGCAGCTATTGCACAAAGTCTAGCAGGACACAACCTTTTACCTCCAAAACAGCAGCTTGTCAAAGGTGGGACAAATGGTTCTAATCACATCTTGTTCATGCTGTTTGAAGTTAATGCTTTTGCCCCCAAAGCTGTGATGCATCCAAAGCACACAACGACGAGCGCCAGATCTCAAGTTAGGAATGAAACACAAACTGTCAAAAACCAAGATGAAGTTTGCTTGGGATACGGACGAAACATTATTTTCAGCAATTAGCAGCATAGCACCTTCCAAAAAACACTACTTGTTGAACACAGATATATTTCACGGGGTCAAGACTGCAGGAAAACCACAAGAAGAATTCCCTTCTTAAAAATCTTGGCCATCACTTCAAATAAGAAGGCGCTAGGAATGTTCCTCAGACTATTAACAACTCATCAAATCAGCGACCCCGGTTCCCCCCCGGCCATCTTCGTAACAGACGAGTTTGTTTTCGCATCTGTGTGGGTCCTGAGTGCCACGTTCTTCTGGTTGTGAACCGCTCAGCGAGGGGATGGGAAGTAGGATGAGGTCTGGAAGCGTGTAGTGAGCGAGCGTGAGGCCGGAGTGTGCTGGTCAGTTAACGGATAACTGAAAGAAAACAAATGCGCATGCTACTTTGATTATGAAGGTCAACTAAGATGGACGGTTGATCTATTTAACACTGTTTAAACAAATCAGATCAACTGATAACAGTTCAGTCCAATGGATGGCAATATCATGTTGCTTAGTTAGCAGTAAGTTTTAATTAGATTTCACCCAATTTCTGAACAATTTGCACTATTGTATTAAATGTAATCAACCCAAGCTCATTGTAAAAATGTGCCTCTTCTTACATTTTTGCTCCAAAAATGTACCTATACATACAATTCACTGCACTTTCCAGCTAAAATGAACACTAGTGGTAGCAAAACAATTCAATTCAATTCAAGTTTATTTGTATAGCGCTTTGCACGATACAAATCGTTGCAAAGCAGCTTTACAGAAAATTAAGTTTCTACAATATATTTGGTAGTAGCTTATCAGTGGTGACTATGTCAAATTGATGTACATATGGCAGAAATGTACGGAAAAATCGTAATCAAACAGACGATGAACGCTATTAACAGCAATTATTATATGTTTCAATCAAACTTATAGCAAAATGTGGTAGTTCTGTAAGTTGTTTCACGGTTGGCATCATCTGAGGTCCTCTGAGGGGTTGGCATCATCTCTTCTCAGGTGTTCTGGATCCAGACTGAAGCTTGTGTAAATCAACGGGATGTCAATCCCGTGGCAGAAACAGAGGATCAAATAGAGACATAATTAGCGTAGCTGCTGTTCCAACCAAGCAAAAATGATTTGTTTAACCCAAACTAACGAATAATAATGTGCATTTGATTAGATATAACTGCAGTAAAAGATTATGAGATGCATTATTTGAATGCTTGGCCAAAGAGATGTGTCTTTAATCTAGATTTAAACAGAGAGAGTGTGTCTGAACCCCGAATGGTATCAGGAAGGCTATTCCAGAGTTTGGGAGCCAAATGCGAAAAAGCTCTACCTCCTTTAGTGGACTTTGCTATCCTAGGTACTACCAAAAGTCCAGAGTTTTGCGACCTTAGGGAGCGTGATGTATTGTAGCGTGGTAGAAGACTAGTTAGGTATGCAGGAGCTAACCCATTAAGGGCCTTATAGGCAAGTAATAATATTTTGTAACTGATACGGAACTTAATAGGTAGCCAGTGCAGACACTGTAAAATTGGGGTAAAATTATCATATTTTCTTGACCTGGTAAGGACTCTAGCCGCTGCATTTTGGACTACCTGTAGCTTGTTTATTGAAGATGCAGGACAACCACCTAGCAGTGCATTACAATAGTCCAGTCTAGAGGTCATGAATGCATGAACTAGCTTTTCTGCATCAGAAACAGGTAACATGTCTCGTAACTTCGCAATGTTTCTAAGATGGAAGAATGCTGTTCTTGTAACATGGGAAATATGATTTACAAAAGACAAGTTGCTATCTAATATAACACCCAGATTTTTGACTGTAGAGGAAGTAACAGTACATCCGTCTAGTTGCAAATTGTAATCCACGAGATTCTGTGTACTGTTGGTACAAAACACCAACTACTTATCTTCCTTTTCACACAAATTTTGATTATGGGAGCGTATTATCAAAAAAATAAAGACTTATTTTTGGGCAGTTTATTGCACAATACTATGTTAAAACACTTTTGCCATAGTACATGATTTTTAAACTAATACATTTTGACATTTGCATCTCATAAACACCTCCATATGTATGTCTTTATGACGTAGTAAACTTGTTCATTAGCTCACCTGGTACACTTGAGATGCAAAGCGTTCTGGTTCGAGTCACGTATAAAACATGAATCAAAACACTTCACAAAAGAGCTCAAAGGTTTAGTGTAGGTGGTACATTATTTTCAAATGCAATAAGCGCATTATCCCTTTAACGCCACTCAACCGACATTTCATTTCCAAACTGCTGCAATATATACAACGACCAATGTAATAAAACATTGCCAGATTCACATTCATTGGATAAAACTGAATGTGCTTTTAAAGCCATTCACTGGACATTTCACTTAGAATGTGTCACAACATGTGCACAAAACAACATAATATAATTTTGCAGAAATGTTTCCACAGGCACGTTTTTTCCCAATGTGCCTGGGCTGAATGTAAGTATATTTATAATAAACCTTTCTCTTATCTTTTATCCCAGTTCTTCCACTGAAATAATTGCAATTGCTTTGCCTTTTCCTTAAGGAACACATGCAATGCTGCCTTAGAAATTGGCCAAAATGTTGGCATGAAATTGCACCCATGATGAATGGAGTTTAGGTAGACGGCTCATTTGGTTTTGGAACAGATCTATTCTAGTACACTATCAAACACATCCTTCAGTGCAATAAACCCTCATCCAACAGATAATCAATTGACTCTACTACTCTAAATAAAGATTGTAATTGCTCGTCCTGAATATGGCTTTGAATGGGCTCTGTGTTGCTTAGAAGGAAATAGCATAATTACTGTATTTGATGAAGCTAAGAAACATACTAGAAAGTGGAGAATTACCTCCCATAACAACTGAGGACAATGCATTTCACTTTACCAGTAAAGAACTTCAATGAAGGCTGTAAAAAGAGAAGAAACGATCTGCAGTACACAGCTAAAGAATTGCTCAAAATATGCTTGCAATTATCAAGATCAAGACCATTTCGTAACCGATAAATAGTTTCATGTCTGCAAGCAGATGAGTAAATGTCTAGTCATGGTACTGCGATATCATCTGACCCCCGTCCACAAGAGTCACAAAACATTCTTCATAAATTGACAACAGACGGAAGGTTTAAAGAAATAGTTCACTAAAAACTGACAAATTCTGCCATAATTTACTCACTCTTAAGTAATTTCCAAAGCAGCAGGACTTTTCTTCTACCGTGGAACATAATATATGATGTTTAGCAGAATGTTCTTGTTCCACAGAAATAGTCACATAAGTTAAAGGAAGTTCACCCAAAATGGAAACTGTCTGAAAATGTACTCATCCTCAGGCCATCCAAGATGTAGGTGAGTTTTGTTCTTTATCAGAACAGATTTGGAGAAATGCAGTATTCCATCACTTGCTCACCAATGAATCCTCTGCAGTGAATGGGTGCCGTCAGAATGAGAGTCCAAACAGCTGATAAAAACATCACAATAATCCACAAGTAATCCACACATGACCTTAAAGCAGGGGTGTCAAACTCAGTTCCTGGAGGGCCGGAGCCCTGCAGAGTTTAGTTCCAACCCTGCTCCAACACTCATACTGTGTAGTTTTCAAATAAGCATGAAGAACTTGATTAGTTGTATCAGGTGGGTTTAATTAGGGTTGAATCTAAACTCTGCAGGGCTCCGGCCCTCCAGGAACTGAGTTTGACTCCCCTGCCTTAAAGTATAAGTCCACTTCCAGAATAAAAATGTCCTGATAATTTACTCACCCCCATGTCTTCCAAGATGTTTATGTATTTCAGATTAAAAAATCCTGGAATGTTTTCCTCAAAAAACCTAATTTATTTGCGACTGAAGAAAGAAAGACATGTACATCTTAAATGACATGGGGGTGAGTAAATTTTCAGGAAATGTTTATTCTGGAAGTGGACTTATCCTTTAAGGTGACTACATTTTCAGTAAACTTTCTTTAGAGAAACGAACACTAGTTCCCTCATATCAGTAGCAATATTTCTCAAGGGGGGCCCTGAGGGGTCTTAGTCTATATGATTCATGTAAACTCAAAGCTGGGGCCCCAGGACACGCCTCACTTGCTCTTGTGTGTTCTGTCAGTAAGACACAGCACAAGCAGGAGTGTGCACATTAAAGCCACATAAACCACTCTCATCTCTCCACCACAAGAAAGGAGCTTCAAGAGATTGCTACACATTGGATCCTTGGCACAGCCGCTCGGAAAATATTAGCCAAACTAGAAATTTATAATTTCTATCAAAATACCTCAGGAGCCAGACTACAGATATTTAAACTGATTGCACACAGTAATATTAATAATTTTAAAAAGAAAAAACAATAAAATTGTCAGCTGTCCATCACATAAACAAGCTCATAGTATGATGCATATTTACAAAAGGAAATGTGTAAACCAACCCGTTATCAGCGCTGAAAATGAGTGTTAGTGTGACAGGGGTAATGTGAAAACAACAGGATACGATAACAGCTCTGTTTTTTATTATAGCTGGGAGAAAAGTTATTAAAAGTGACCAAAACAAGGCTGTTAAAACATTCGTCCAGGCAGGGTTTTAAATACTGACCGGTCCAAATTCCATGTTTAACTTCATGAGTGATTTCAGTGGTACAGTGGTTTGGGTTAAACTACCCGTATAAAACAGTTCTGCTCTTTTACCGGCTGATTTGACTGTGCAGATGGCATCCTCTAGCTGTTTTTCATTTTAACTGGTGCTGTCAAACACAAGCACATCTGACACTCAAACAGGATATAATGATAATACAGTATATAAACACATTTTCACTTCCCCTTTTACAAATTCAAAAGATCTTTAGACATGTTTTAGAACAAGTTCTTTAGATGCATTCTTCTTCTGGATTCTTCAAGATTCTAGAAAATGTATGAATTTAAGACGTCATATGTATTTGTATAGCACAATACATAATTGTTTCAAAGCAGCTTTACAGAAAATCGTGAAGGTTGACATTTACAATATCTTCATGACTTACAGTCGAATTTAGTAGATTAGAGCTGGGAGATAATAAAGTTTACATTTTGCGATGATGCAAGCAATAAAGTCGTTAAGATTTGCTACAGTATATGGTATTTATCACCATATGTAAGTATACTGTGTGCAGATGCTAAAGGAGTGTTAAAGCCAGAACATCAAGGCTGAAAAACAGTTTTTACACACAGGCCATCAGGCTTGTGAACGACACCCATCTGCTGCCTCTCCCCCAATCACTGCAGACATACTATAGATTACCCTCCATCCTGCCTACACTCATACACACACATACACACATAATGCAAATAACATCAGACACACACACACTTTTTCACTTGCAACAACATGGACTCAATCTACCTCTACGGGACTTTGCACATGCATGTCTTCCTTGTTTACATTGCGCACTGTGCACTTTATACATGTAATAATTTAGTTTCTCGCATTTTTCACACTATTAGTAATCTTGCAATTTTAGTAATCTTTGTAATTGCTATTTGTAATCTACGTATTGCGTCTTTTATTTTTATGTCCTTAACTTTATGCCACAGGCTGTTTCATAGTTTTCTCTACATATGACAATAAACTCTTGAATCTTGCATGCAGGTAACGTTGGATATATATCCAACTATAAATAAAGAGCTGGGTGATAATATAGTTACATTTTGCAACGATGCAAGCAATAAAGTCATTAAGATTTGCTATATGATATATACCATCAGCATATTTATACTGTATGTATCTGGAGATACTTTTATACCCAACCTTATATAAAGAGCCAGACAATAACATAGTTACTTTTTGTGACAAAAAAAGGGCACTTTATGTGAGCATAAGAATATATCCAATTTTATATTTAGAACCGGACAATAATATAGTCACATTTTGGGATGTTATAAACAATCACATAGCTGAGATTTGCTATATATAGCCTAGTATATCTATATACAGCTTTATGTGAATTTACTATACGTAGGGCTGGACGATATGGCCTAAATTTATATCACGATATATTTATTAATTTCGGTCGATACGATATAATTCCGATAGCGATATGAACACTTATTTTAAAAAAGCCTAGTAAAAACTGCCAAGAACGCCCACAACAGATGTCTGTGCATACAAACTTATGAAAAATGAATTTGACAAGTCTTGACACCTCATATAAAACCGTATAATATTTTAGGGAGAAAAAAAAAACAGCACAAATAAATGAATGTTCACCTTTTATTTGTATTTAGTCTTCATACAAACAAGAAATGTGAAATCACTGTCAAATAA